TATAGAATTGAGACCAGGCTGTAACATAATATATATATATATATATATATATATATATATATATATAGAGAGAGAGAGAGAGAGAGAGAGAGAGATCACATAGATCTATAGATAAGTAGATAGGTGAAATTTTATGAAATATCTTTCCTCCGTTATCGCAATGAATGCTGGACAATTTACTCACAGATGAAAAGGAAACTTGAAGCAACAAAAATGTTGCTCAACAGAAGGATGCTGAGAATATCGTCGGCTGAACATGTGAGTAACGAGGAAGTTTTTATGGAAAATGGAAACAAAAAGGACGCTTATACTTAGAATCAGAAAGAGACGCTTGAAATTTCTTGACACACAATGAGAAAAGATGTCTTGGAGAATTTGACACTCACATGAGATATTGAAGTCAAGAGAGGTTGAAGAAAGCATAGATTAACCCACGTAACAAGCTTGTGTAAATGGAGGGCAGACTAGGGACCGGGTGGGATGGTTAAAAGATAAACCTTACTAAGAACTAAAAAAGATTAGGGAGAGCTATAATCGCCCTCCCTGAAGGGACAATGTAGAAACAAATTTCTATTGCTTCATGTTTCTTCTTCTTTTGTGAAGAAATTGTCTAGCATTCATTGTTATATAGGGAGAACGATATTACATAACATTTCAGCTACCTACTTACCTACCTACCTACCAATCTATAGAACAAAAGTGATTTATATATATATATATATATATATATATATATATATATATATATATTTATCTGCCACGTAGAATTCTATAATTTTAGGTCCATCAACCTTATTTACGATCTTATATTGTTGTCGTTTGCCATTTCACATTACTAGTGTCGGTTTAGCCCCTACTAATTTTCGAAAACGCTACTAGTTGACGCTTTCTGGACTATAAATACTCGGCGATATTTTTTCTCATTCTCTTCTTCCCTTATCTACCAACATGTAACCTCTCGTGGAGAACGCGCTTCCTTTTGGGAAACGCATGAACAATGCACACACACACACACACACACACATACGTACGCACATTCACTAACCACACATACTTTGAACCCAAGCGGTTTTTGCATACAGTTGACACACACACACACACATCTTTGTCTTTGTCACTTGTATACCTTTCTTGTTAATACATTATCATTTGTTTGTAGATATATATTGGTACTTGTAGTTTCTTTACATTTCTTTACGTGGACTCGAGTCCGTCATTTTGTTGTGGTTATTTTCAGGAGACAGCGTGTTATTCCCAATTTTAAACTCTGACGTTACTAACGTCCGAAACAAGATGGGAAGCGCATATACCAGTCCGTGGCACTAGAAATTAGTCGATATTACCTAGCAGTTCATCATTTTTTTTTCTTTCTTTCTAATGAAATGTTTCTTCTTCCTAATACTTTGCTTGACTTTTGTTAAGTATTTTTTGCTATTACAATGGGCCTTTGGATTTCGGAGTCACATTTCCGTCCTCTGTTAAAACACTTCCTAGATATTAAAATTTTGTACTATGTTTTGGTGTCTCTAATTCGGAGTTCGTATCTTGGACTCTTCCTTTTGCTGATAACCATAACAAAGATAAAACTTTGTAAAATTCTTGTAAGTGGATGTTTTTGCCGACGTCAGCCACGAGCATATCACATCGCACACCATCATAAATCAGCATCGGTACTAGTCTGCAAACTTCTCAATTTTTAAGGAGAATGTAATCCGCAAAGAGATATGGGAGGGCCTGCAACAGTCAGGGAATAAAGGGGTAGAGGATAGTAAAAATTTTCGTTGGCAAGAGTAGTATATAAAGTATATATATATATATATATATATATATATATATATATATATATATATATATTTGAGGAATCGAATCTATTACATTCACTTACGCGCTAAAAAAAAACTTGGGAAAGTTATGAATCCTCTACTTCTCCCCCCCAGCTATGGGTAAATAACAGGACAGACCGGGTTCTATAACCTTGGATGGTAACTGGTCTACCGCAGAAAGAAATGGCAATCTACTACAGGGGGAAAAATCTGCCTCGTCGGTCATGTATCGAACGATACATGATCGCCTAATCGTGTATCATGTATGGCACATAACTGACTGAAACCGGTTCCACTGCCCCATTTCGGCGTGGAAAAGGAGGGAAATCAGACAAGGATGTATTTTCTCAGCGAAACGATTCTAAGACAAAGAATAGCTCTATAAATCTTTTTACATTAAGTTTCATCCTGTACAAGGCCCAGAGCTACTTTGTTACGTTAAGGGGCTGAAGGAAAAGATAACGGTTAACTCTAGACTTAAACAGGTTAAGATTTTAAACATCCTATTGGAAGTCTGTTCCACAGAGCAGTGGTTTGCAGGAAGAAGCGGTTCGATTGAAACTTACTTCTTACTGATGAAATACGGAGGGAATGTGGGCGGTTTTCTACAATATAAGTGACATGGCGTGTCCTAGCCGTGGAGGTTAGATCTGACGGAACCAAGTTCATTCAAACGCTTTCCATGGAAGAGGTTGACCATGTTTGCCGTAGTCTTCGAATATAGAATCCAGCGAAGTACGTAATGTGTTCAATATCAGAGGTTGACAGTGAAGATTCGGAGAAAGTAGCAGCTGTTAAGTAATTCGTTAGGTCTTTGATATCAGAGATTGGCAGTGAAGATATTTTTGGAGAAAAAACAAAATGGCTGCCTTTATACACATCGGATTGAATATTTTGAGCTTTCTGATTGGTTAACACTTCTCTTGGTGGACTATAAAATGAGTCAGCTCATTTTGGCTGGCTCACTAGTACTGCAGGCTACCCAAAAATTCCAACAGAAGACAAGATAGAACAGTCAGAGGCTCGTCATACTCCGTCTGTGGAAGAGAGGTAGGAGGGTGGAAAATAGTCGAAGTTGCGAGTTACATATCAGGAACATCAAAATCAAGCAGAAATTTAATTTGGGCAATGGATTAATAGACAAAGGAAAGTGTGACACAGATATCGGAAATCACATAGAAATAGTGAAAGATGCATTTAAAAATTAAAGAAAGTAATAAGCAATTGGAAAATACCCTTAGAAACAAAAAAAAATGAGTACGACGTTGTTATGTAATATTTAATGTCCTATAAGGCAGTGAATGCTGGACAATTTCCTCATAAATGAAAAAGAGACTTGAAGCGATGAAGATACCGTTTTATCGACAATTCTTGAGAATACCATGGAAAGAACATGCGCGATACGAGGAAGTCTTAAGGAAAATAAAAACTACAAAAAATACTACTAGCAATCAGAAACAGCTAAAAATTTTGTTAAATATGATGAGGAAAGAACGTTTAGAGATTTTAACACTCACAGGAAAATATCGGGTAACCTACTTGATGAGTCTGACTATATGGATGACAGAACAAGGACTATGAAACAAAGAGGATTGATAAAGAGGTAAAAGTTGCTTAAAACAAGAAAAAACGGGAAATTGTGGAGAGCCATCATCTGAAAGGACGTGGTACTTAAAAGAAGACAAATACAATATTTGTTCTTATCGTGGATCTTACAGGAGATTATTTTATTTCTTATATCTAAATTGCTAGCATGATTAGTCTTGCGTTTTGGGGTCATTATGCGTTCATGTAGTATTTTGCCGGAATAGGCTTGGCACTTAATTTCACACCAGGGCAAGTAAGACAGGTGCAGAGTTGACCGCAACTTGGGACGAAGATCAGCGATTCACTCGTTGTCAGTGGTGACCCTGAGGCACTAGTGCACCTGCATACGATTGAAATATACGCACCTGTGAGTAAACGTGGAGTAAATGGAGTGTAGAAAGCCAAGGGGAACAAAAGCTAATAATGAAGCTTATAGTAAATCAGGAAATAGAAAGAGTTCAATTTATTTTAGCAATAATAAATACACAGTATATATCCAAAAATACATAGACTATTTGTTTACTAGGTCTGAATCATACTTATTATAAAATCCAGGTTGTGTGTGTGTGTGTGTATCTGTACGTTTATATATTGGATAGGATTTCCTACATTTTTCAACCGATTTCAACAAAACTTCACAGGGCTACGTAAAATTACCTTGCAGTAGTTCTGACAGCGCCAAAAATTGGAAAAACACAATTGTTTTTGCACGAAATCAATTTGAAAACACGATTAAAAGGCATCGCGAAAATGAAAGGGGGACAACTCATATCGAGTTATACTTATTATGTATAATGTGTGTGTGTGTGTTCGTTCGCTTATATATGGGATCGGATTTCCTACATTTTTCAACCGATTTCAACAAAACTTCACTTTTTTTTGGCAGGTAGTGTTTCTTATTGTCTTGCACACTTTTCTCTTTATTTTTACATTCAGAATGCTTTAAAAATTCCATTTACAAGACAATTATTTATAATAAAATTCTATTCAATCGGTAGACTCATAACGATTGAAAACAATGTTTTTGTTTGAGTTTTGACCAATTCGTAAAAAAAAAAAAAATAATTAAGACATGCGTGTCCGTCAACCTTAAACAATAATCTTTGTCAATTTTATTTTTCAGTCTTTATGATGGTCGATACTTGATCTATCTCTTACTGTTAGTATTATCTGAAAGGCAATTGAATGCTAAGGTAGAGATGCTTATGTTTAAATGTCGCTTTATTTGAAAGGTACACTCAAAGACTCAAAGAAATAAAAGTCGAAAAATTACAAGAATTGACTGATTGATTAATTGATTGATTGACCGATTCGTTTTTTACGGTATATCAACCCTTTGTAGGTTATTTAAAGCCAGATTTTTTTTTTTTTTTTTTAGATTGTAAGAATTTTGGGAGGGAGACTATCATGGTTTAGTGACATACGTATTACTAATTATAATTAACCCATAGCTGAGGGAAAAGTAGGAGTCATGCTTTTCCTAAGGGGATTTGCGTGTAAGTAAATGTAACGAATCCAACGGGAATTGGAACTTGTCTCTCTGATTAACAATTCCGAGCCATCATCCATTACACCATCCGCACATCCAAGCTTACAACACCTGGTATTCCCAAGCGGTCACCCATCTGGGTACTAGACAGCCTCGACGTTGCTTAACTTCGATGAACGTGCAGAAACTGGAGAAAAAGTAAAAGTAAGAAAGTAAAAAGAAAATAAGAAAGACAAGGAAATAATTTAGACATAAAAAAATAAATGTTTAATGACGTTCATTTGAAGAGCCCAATTAAACAAAGAAAGAAAGGTGGGCGATTCATAATCTTGTTATTGTGTTAGATGTCGTCGTTTGAAACTGAGAAAATGTCGGCATTGACCAACAAAAACTAAAAGTGTTAAATTGGTTGAGAAAATAAACAAAAAACTAAATAAAACAAAGTGAAATAAAAAATATTCTATCGAGAACATTTTCGTGTAGAGAAAATTTCAAGGAATGTGCCTGAAAGAAAGTGCTAATTCCAGTATCCTTCTAAAAAAAAAGGATGAAGAAAAAGTTGAACTTACTGGTGGTAATTTAGAAAGTGGGTGATTATGTATAATCTAAGCCATGTGCGATTCCTGTACGAAGCGTTAATTTTAGCGTCCTATCCAAACCTCGGTCCACAGGGAAAGAGAGCTAGCCTTTTCAAATTTACAGCACGCATGCTCCCAGTTTTTTCTACGCGTGCCCCAAATCTGAAAAGAGGTTGTTGCTGCCAGGGTTATCAACGCTAGGGAAAAGATTTTAATGTCAGCTAATATCTATATCTATAAATGGGGAAAGTTTGTTTGTCCGTTAGCTATACAAAACCAAAGAATTACATAGACCTCTATGTTGAGTCTGAGGCTCTGTGGGGAGATTAATGGAGGCATAACGTCGCCATCATTAGTGATCACTCAAAACAACATGATGTTGACTGGATATATCATCCAATACTTTCCGAATTCTCTGCACTGTCTTCAGATTGACACCCCAAAACTCTGAAATGTTCGTATTGGAGCTTCCGGTGCAAATACCAAGAGTACAGCATACCTGTTATGATGTTAATTTGGGGTTAATAAAGACAAACGCCAAATAACATGTAACAATAAAATGGGGTTTATTCGGTTGGTAAGTTGGTACAGATATCGCCTGAGTAGTCTATAACTAACTCAGCTCAGAACTTCTTCTACACTGTCTTTTGACATGCCACTATTTAACGTCCTTGTTTGTAGACGAGTTCATCTTCAAGAGGGGTGGTAGTTTCCTACACAACAATACCGTTTCCAAATTTCTGGCGGAGTGAACTGCGTCATGGTGCTCTTTTTCTCACAGACGGTGTCTAACTGACCCTACTACACTGTGCAGTCGGCAAAATAAAAAGCAAACAATGCACCTGCATGAAATTAAAAATATAAAATGGCGACAATTTACCCATCGCACTCTGTATAGTGATTTCCCAGGCGTAGCTTGGATGCGGCTCAAGGCTGAAAGTAAGGGGCACCCAGTGAGGATTGAATTCACTACCCAGGCCTAATTGTTCTAGCGAGACAAGCTTGCTAACCATTACGCCACCTCGAGGTGCCCCATCGCACCCTGTATATGTATATAAAAGAATTAATACAAATGTTTGTCACTTTGCTGATTGATGTTTCCTTTAGTATCCCGACTCTAGAGTTTCGAAGACAAACTATCTAGGAATCACTTTGTCCATTCGTCGACTATTCATACTTCTCCATTTTTCTTTTATATAAGCACTTTTCATTGGTGCAAGTTTTTGTTTTTTTCATAGTGTATGTTGCGTGCATGCGCGCATGCGCACGCGGTTATGTATATATATATTTCAGCAAAAAGACACAGAAAATACATTATTTTTTTTGTTGTTGTTGATGATGCTGTTTCAGTTATATTATTTAATTTATTTATTCAATTATTATTGCTTTCATGAGATATAATTTTAGTTTCAGGCCAGATGAAACTTTAATTCTTTCTAGCATTATCATTATTTCCCCTGTAACAAGTCATTATCCTGAAAGTGTGCATAATTTGAAAAACATGTCATTTCTTTCACGTAAAAAAACCAAGCCTGGAAGTTTCCTGGTTCATTATAAACTTAGACAGTGATTATGTCTGTCTCGAAATCCTAATATGGATATTTAACATTATCTAACTTTTGATATTGATTTAAAGTAGCTTTTTTCAATGGTTCACGGCCAGATGCAGTGAACAAAGCAAAGAGTTGGGAGGCGTCAATTCGCAACTCAGACCTGTTTTATCCTAAAAATCAACATTCGAATAAGGTACTACTTTTTATGTACCAAAATGACGTCATTGCTAAGAGACGCCAGCTTGATCGTGAAACACAATAACGGTAATCATAATTTATCTATAAAAGAAAAGTTGGTTCTGACTGTCATGCACTGCTTACGTACGACTTTGCATGCGTTTATATACTGTATATGCGTATGTGCATTGTGAGTGAGTGGCTTATACGTGTTTGTGTCGTTTAATATATACACAAGTACACAACTTGACTAAGTTGGAAATAAGACACTGGAATAATACCTTCCTTCTCACTCAGCCTGAACTACTCCTACCTTGGGCTGAGTAATAAAAACAAAACAAAAAAACAACTTTAAGAATTTTTAACCCCTAAAGATCAGATAAATAAAAGATTTTATTGAACTTTTCGGAAATTTCTTCGGTAATAAATAGAATTATTTTCTGGAGATTTTTTTTTAATTTTGTAAAAATACTTTTAGGTCTATCGTTGTCTAGACACCCGGCCATAGTATTTCCCTACTACTCTAGCTCATGAACAGATATGCACAAGATATCAGCAGAGAGGAGACATGCCCAATAGATTACGATCAGGCGAGTAAATCTGAGCTACTACATGGGATATTTACTGAAGCCCATCTTAATTCATGAAGTCAAAAAATGTACAGGTTAACGCTTTCAATCAATTAAGATTAGAAGCTATATCTAGTGTAGTATCAGGGCACTCATTATTATTATTATTATTATTAATTGTTTACATTAATACGATGAAGGAGATTCTGGAGTGTTACAACATGTAAACTTGATACATAACATCATAGTGCTAATGAAGCAATTCAGTATGTATGATCATCGGTAAGACTGACGCCCACACCAAACCCATGTATAAGAGATCTAAAGCCCTTAGTTGTGGTACGTCTTGACCGGCGATTCCCTTATTATGGTCTCTACAGCTTTCTACCCTCAGTGGGGATGAGACGCCGCTTTGGCAGCCAACTCAGCCAACAAAAAAAAAAAAAAAAAAAAAAAACGTTATAGCCATAATTCTCTCAAATATTCCTTTATCGAGTTTTGAGGTTGAGTCCATCCTGATTAGACATTCCTAACCTTATGAGCCTAAAAATGCCCGTGACATATAGAGAAAATGGGAGTTCAGCCAAAGCGATACCTATAATAGGCCTGGCAGCCATGCAACTGAGGTACATGACTGGGGGTGGTCATGTAGAAACCTAAACTAAACAACAATTACAGTGAACTTGTTAGTAATAACCAGTAATAAGTTAATTATGGACTATACCAATTATTAGAAAGCACCTTACAACTATAAGAATTATTGATTTATTTTCATAAATTCAAATGTACAAATAAAAAAGAAAACTAACCTCCTCTACTAACTACACGCACGAAAATCACTTTATTCAGCACAAATTAGGAACGTTTTAGATGATATTGTAGAAATAATAAGTCATTTTATTTATGATAATTGATTAAATGCATAGAAAATATCATTTTATAATACAATTAGAAAGCAAGTTCAAAATTTTACGAAATCATCTATCACAAAGTCTGAAAATACTTGAAAAAAGATAATACAGTTAGAGAAGTAATTTAGTTTTCTGTCTATATTTCTGAGATGAGGTATTATGGACATTATTTACATTATTCAGACTATTGTCCTCATCTTTGTCACCATATTTATTACAACGTTTCGGCCGTTGTACACTCCGGGTTTATTCAGGTGGTTGGAATGTCGAATTGAACCCTTTATTACGCTCACTGGGGTAGACTGTCCTAGTTCCACGTGCCATGTTTAATGGATGTCAGTTATCAGTTATCTCCTGTTCATTCCCGTCTCCAAGTTCTCCACTGCCTTAAACGAGTATTGAACTCACACTCTTTGAGTCCTGTCACAGGATCTAACCAACGCTTTTATCCTCAAGAACGCATGGCACATTGGATAAAGGCGTTGATAAATATGGCGACGAAGATGAGGACAATAGTCCGAATAATGTAAATAGTGTAATTTAGTTTTGTTTAATTTTTTTGTATTAAATTAATCAATAATATTTTGCATTGTTATAAAATATTCACAGCGTTTTCGTAATTTTTCATATTCATTTTCTAAATAGTCTGTAGTAAATTCACTTAAATTCAATTTAAATCCATTACTTAACAAATATCTACACTATTTAGCATTAATTTTTATATTTTTTCTAAATTTTATTCTGTGATTTTTGTCACATCTGCAAGTGTCTGTGTTTGTTTTACAGAAGATAATGAAAATACTTATTTCCCTGTGATATTAAAATAGCAGTATACATAGTTTTAATAATAATTAGAATCAATTTACATTAAAAGGAATACAACATATACAGCATAATTTGATAAGTTAATCAATTCATCATATTAAAAGAAAAAGTGGAAAATTAAAAATAAAAATTATCTGGTAGGTGCTTCTCTGGAAGGAAGTAATTTTTAATGTAGCTTCCTGAACATATATCTACTACTTGAAGAAATATGATTTTTTAATAATAGTCTTAATGAGAATTTTAGAAGGAAATTGTGTAAATATTTTATAAATAAAAGTTTAAGATAATTTCAAAGCTTTTAGTGCTGCTTCTTGAGTGGTCTTAGGAGAATCAAACAAACAATAAATTGTGAAAAATATATTTGACGACATAATCATATGCTTTCTTTTTATATTTAAATGGTACATTTCAGAAACTAATATCAATTTTTTGTTAAAAAAGTCCCTTAAGTTTTCAATTTAGCAACAGATAACAAAAAAAAACACTTTACTGTGTAATCATTTCTTGTAACATAGATTGCTATATACAAGTGACATTTTTCTTCCTGTATGTCAGCAAACGCTGGA